GAGTGTCCCACAAGAGTGTCCCACAAGAGTGTCCCACAAGAGTGTCCTGCAAGAGTGTCCCACAAGAGTGTCCCACAGGAGTGTCCCACAAGAGTGTCCCGCAACAGTGTCCCGCAAGAGTGTCCTACAAGAGTGTCCCACAAGAGCTTCCTACAACAGTGTCCCACAAGAGTGCCCCACAAGAGTGTCCCACAAGAGTTTCCTACAAGAGTGTCCCACAAGAGTGTCCCACAAGAGTGTCCCACAAGAGTGTCCCACAAGAGCTTCCCACAACAGTGTCCCACAAGAGTGTCCCACAAGAGTGTCCCACAAGAGTGTCCTACAGGAGTATCCCACAAGAGTGTCCTACAAGAGTGTCCCACAAGAGTTTCCTACTAGAGTGTCCCACAAGAGTGTCCCACAAGAGTGTCCCACAAGAGTGTCCCACAAGAGTGTCCCGTAAGAGTGTCCCACAAGAGTTTCCCACAAGAGTGACCCACAAGAGTGTCCCACAAGAGTGTCCTACAACAGTGTCATTTGGACATATGTAGTTTTTTGAATGTGTTTGCATTCGGGTTCGTGGGTTCCATCTTGTTTTTATGTCCTAACCTAATCTTATATCAAATAGCACGTGATTCATGTCTATCATAACCCAAGCCCCCACCAAGTCAACAATGGTGGAAGGTGGGTTTCACCAGGTTTCCGCCAGGTTTATGTTTGGGGACCGGGACCTCGGGCTGTTTGGAGTGTTTGGAAACTACCCCGTTTTCCAACTCACATGGAACATGGACCCTGAACACCAGTGGAGCTAGTGAACTACCCTGAACACTCAGGGGGCCATTCGACCCGGGTCCATGTCGGGGATGTGGGGAGTGAGTGTTCTATATGATTTCAACCCAGCAATGCAGTGTTTTTGGCATCTCCACAGGGAGGTGTTGTGAATCAAAGTCAACATCAAAGCTGTATATTGTCCAGAGAAAACGGTTCGGGAGTCAATTGGGCTCATGGATTTGGCTCCTGAGGAGGATGCAGGCGTGGCGCGGCCGCTGTGCAACCGCTTTGCGACCTTTTTTTGCGTGGTCCTGGGTTGTGGGATGGTCAGCAGCGCCTGCAGATGAGGAAGAAAGGCCTTTTGACAGGCCCGAACAAATCCAGATCGTACCTTCTGAGAAGCCTGGCACCTACTTCGAACAGTGTCTTCAAAAACCGTGGAACCCCTAGACAGGGAGGTTTGGGGTACTTGGTCTTCAGATGTGAGGTGACCAAGTCCATGTTTTGAATCCTAGGGCTCCTGGCCCACCTCCATTTCGGTTCGGTGGCCAGGGGTGAGTCTGGGGGGTCTAACTACATTCTGAGGAGGTGGGCCAGGAGCCCTACTGTAGGGGACTCACTAGAAGACCAGCAAGGTGGCTTTGTTCGTCCGAAGGTGGCCCTGCTCGGTGCCTGATCAGAAGGAGAAGCGATCGGAGGGAAAAACATCCAAGAGTGTTCTGCTAAGTCACCTATACCCAGGAAGAGGGGAAAAAACATTGAACATCATTTAGCCTTTAAACATGTAACAGGTGGAAGAAGGTTAACATGTATTTTCCACGCACATTGAGAGAGTCAGCTGAAAAACAAGATGTTGAAAGACATTGACTGATAGGTACAGCATTCCTTTGGTCACGGCGATTGCTGATAGGACACTGCGGTCCAATACTAATGCTCCCAAACCACCCTGTAGGTGACTTTGTTGTTGGAAAGATGGGTTGGATCATGTTGGATCACTGGTAGGCTTTTTTGAGCGTGTCCAAGTTTGTTTGTAATTCTGCCAGCCAGCTGGCTGCACATGATGTAAATTGTGTATATTTGGGAGATTCGGAGAGGATCAGGATTCTCAACGCATCATGTTGAGCATGTTTGTACCAGTGTCTTCTCTTGTTCAACTGTTTTTCCGGACAACCAGTGAATGGTCACATGGTGAACTATGGCAAACAAACAGGCAAACTGCCAGGTCTGCACACCAAATAAAACAGATGATCACAGCATCAAGTGATCAAGTTGTTATGCACCTTTCTGAGTGTACTGCAGTTCGATAGACCAGTTTACTGCGGGACCCTTGACCCAGACCGTGTTCGACCCCTGACTTTCTTCCTCTAGCAGTGCGAAGCCATGTTTTCATCGGGATGGTTTTACAGCCGAGTTGAAAGCGTTCATTCATCACACTCCAGATCCAATCGGATTGTCGGGAGATCCCGGAGGGTGTTTCTCTTTTAAGAAGATGACCGGTGCATCAATAGTGTTGTTTCTTGTTTCTTAAGTGGTGCCCAAATAGATAGTGGCACGCTTTCCAATATCATTCTTACTGGGGATCTACGAACTTCTATCTAGTTTGGGTTCAAGAGTATATCAAGAGTCTGCTCCAACCGGTGGGCCTTGCCTTCTCCACCCCCAGGAAGAACACTCAGGAAGCTGTTCAATGGCAGCTCCTTATTGAGGTCCAACATTCCTAGACACGACCCATGGGACTGGCAGTCCGGACTGCCGAGTTTCACGAGCCGTTCGGGGTGGTGGACTGCGGGGGGGTCCTATCTGTGGGGCGGCAGTCGGAACTGTCCCCGTCACGTCGTCGTGTTTGGGATTTGAATGAAAACATCGATCTGGCGACCTGTGGGGGGCCAACGTCAACGTCAACGTCGTCTGTCCGCCCCAGAAAGTCCGTGGTTGTCGGGAGAAACAACTGGGGGGCCAACGTCAACGTCAACAGTTTGACGCCCCAGAAAGTCGGGTGGTTGACGGGAGTTTTACGAGGTTTTTTTCGAGAGCTGTGCGATGTCCAGAGATGTTCAGCTTCGACGTCTCGTGTGGATATAGCAGCAGTGGTCAAAAAACCACCTCTACCATGTACCTGGAGTCTCAAAGTACCTGGAGTCTCATGCGTACAAGCACCTGTTTATAAATATAGAGACATGCCCCATGTTCCAAGGTACGAAGCAGGTCGGGTCGAGGTCACCATCCAACAAGAAGAAACCCCTATGTCATTGTCCAGACTGGTCCGCAGATCGATGAGTCAACAAAAACAAGACTTTTGTAGAGGGGTTGAGGGGATGACATGTAGTCTTTCTATTCTGGAGTCACACAAGACACGCAAGATCAGCACACCCAAGAACCGTTCAAATCCATTTAGGGCGTGATGTGATTGTTCAGCGCCATGCGCGGCTTTTTGGGCCTTGCCGCTTTAGTAGCTGTACTGGCCGCTTTGCTCCAGGCAGGCGATGGTCAAACTGATTCGCTGGCTGTTTTTGGAACCAAGGTTTGTGTGTGTAGTGTGTGTTTTAGCTTGCCGCAGATGGGACCTTCCCGTGATTGACCTGTGCTCCCCATGCCCAGCTTGAACTCAAGAGATTTGAGAAATAGAGTTCCGACGTTTCTCTCGGTTTTTTTCCGTGCCCGGCCCGGTCCGGATCCTTTTTCACCCCACCTGTCTCAACGCAGGGATCGAATGCTGACCTTTTCACCAACCAAAACATGTTTGCTTCGGGTCCGGTTCCTGTGGGCGGGCGAATCCCTGCTTCTTTTTGGGTTTCCAGGAACAGCTTTAGCAGCCAAAGGCCGTGCAGTTCTTGTATGTCTTGTAAGTGCTTTGGGCTTTGGGTTCATGATGTTCATGATGGTTCTCAGTTCTTCCAGCAACCCAATTCTTTTTCCACCCTTTGGTGCGTGATACGGCTTGTACCAACTGGAGCACCCTCCCAAAAACTGTATTATACTGTATTTGTATATAGTACTAGCTGCTTCCAAGGGGTCACAAGAATAGACAACCTTACACTTACACTATCGATATCTAGAACCTAGAGCCCAGACATGGCCTCCTTTTTTTGACACGGAGTTTGAGTTGATCATCCAAAACAGGGGTCACTCAGGTTCGAGGGAGACTCCTATAGGTCTCCACTCGACGGACTCTTCGACGTAAAAAGCCGTTCAAGCACTCAGACTTTGCTGTGCACAGGCACCTCATGCGAACTCACGTGTGCTCCGCTGGCTTTCGAGAGGGAGAGAAGTCCTGGAGGACATGCGGAGTAAATGAGCGGTCTTGGGTAATCTGCGAACGTCCGCGCTGTTCCGCCTTACAAGATCAACAACTGTGGTGAATAACATGCATACACCTGCATACATAGCCTAGCTATGCAACCCATAGACTACATATATGCCGATATATACTGATCCCTCCAATGACCTCACATGGAGTCTGTCTGAGTCAAATGAATTTTGCGGGAAAGATATATACAGTTTCAGAGTAGAAGGCACAAGTGATATACCCCAAGTTTGTTGTATATGAACTATTTTATTGCACCCATGCGTTGCCTTGATTCATGTCTACTCCTTTGCTCCGTCCGGACGCGTTGTTCATCCATGCCGGCAGAAAGGGATTCTCAAAAGGTTTATGTTGGACTCCCCTTGGGGTGCCAGTATGTGTATTTTGTTTATATGGCACTGGCACCCCAAAAGGTTTATGTCAACATCTTGGGGTGCCAGTGCCAGTGCCTCGAACCGTAGTCGATCCCCTTCGGGCCGAGAAACGGTTTCGGGTAACGTCGTGACGTCGAAAAACGACCGGTCCCTGAATGGGACGGCATGTGTTCGAAGCAAATCCATGCCCGTCATGCCGAGGCTTTTCAGGATCTGAATGTTCGAGTATCCCAGTGGATCCCAGTGGACT